GGGGCCTGTGGGTGGAGAGGACGTTCGAGGCCCCAGGGCAGGAAGAGGCTCGGTGACAGAAAAGAGAACAGAGGGCCAGGGCAGCAGCGGGCGTGCTTCGTGTGCACGGCGGGGCGGGGGTGCTAGGACTCAAGGTGGAGAAATGGGCAGGAGCCCCATCCATCCCCAGAGCCCCCAGGACCCACCAAACTCCCTGCTCAGGGACCTGTCCTCCTCCGCAGCCGTCTCCTCCCAAATCTCGTGTTCTGGCCTGTCTTTCCTGGGCTCCAGGGGCTCCTTCTGGGGAACACTTCGCTTTCCCTGGGCCCCTGACCTACCTCATGGGCAGTCTCTGCCCTCTTCAGGGCCTGGGACCACACGCCTTCGTCACGCCAGTTACTCCCACGCATCCGCTCCAGGCTGTCCCACACCTCCTGGCCCGCTCAGTGCTGTTCCTCCTCCTTGCACACCCTTCCTCCCTCTTCTCCCTCTGGTGAACTTCAGCAAGGCCCGGTCCAGGGTCACCCCCTCTGGCAAGCCTTCTCTGACCCGAAAGAGAGCCAGCCCCCTTCCTCCTTGTCCCCATAAGGTCATCACCTCCCACCGGTCCTGTCTCAGCGGAGCACAGGCAGTCACCACCAGAGGGTGAGCAGAGTGGCAGTGGTCCCTCCCTGTCCCCAGGACTCGTGAGCCCATCGTCCTATCTCCAAGTCTACACCCAGCCCTCTGTGCTCCTGGAGACCTCTTACTCCTCCTCTCACCTATCTGCTCCCACCCCCACGCCACCTCCTCCAGGAAGGCTTCTCTGATCCTCCTGCCCCCAGGCCCAGCTCATTGGCCTGTTTCCCCAGGTGCCTGCACTGAGACTGCGGGCTCCATGTCCTGGGTCCCACCGATGGGCGCTAGGTGCCAGCCCACCGGCTTTTAGCCCGGCATCCCGTTTAGTCCAGTTAAACTAGGTGGGGCCCTCGCGCTTTGCTCACCGTTGGCCTGGCGCTGGGCGAGTGGCCCCCAAGCTCGGCAGTGGCAGCCAGGAAATTGTTCTGGTTTCCTTCTGAAGGTGTCCCTGCACGTAAGCCAGTGAGGAGCAGCCCCAGCGGCCCCCGCCTCCCTGGGCAGGCTTGCCTGTGACGGGTGCGCAGAGCGGACATCGCAAGTAGAGCCTCCGGCCGGAAGTCGCAGGCCACCAGGAATGCAAGGTGCAACCCCAGACCCTAGCCTGAGGGGCTGCCTGGCCATTTGTTGAGCACCTACTGTGTGCGGGCAGTGCAACGAGACCTCAGGTTCCCTCAACGAACTCTAACAGTGGAGACGCCCAGGGAACGAGCCTGGGAAGGGGCTGAGCCAGGACCTGACCCAGGCCAAGGCCTCCTGCACGGGGCACATCTACCTTACCTTGGAATACAGAGCACTCGGGGTGGCGAACAGGTCAGACCTGGCCCTGTCCTGGGGGAGCCGTGGATGGATGGTCACCCCGCCCTGGAAGGCATTTTCCAGCATCCCAAGCGAAGGGCTTTGGCATCTCCGCTGCAGACACCCCTGCTCTGATACATCCTACCTGGGAGGGCTGACGAGGCCTCCCCAGGGTCCCCGGTCCCTGCCACAGGCAGACGTCCTGGGGTTGTCTCCAGTGGGGCACGAGCCACGGGCAGCTGGCAGTGTACTCTGCTCACGGCGTGGACTTCCACGGCAGGAGCCCCAGACAGGCAGCCCGGAACCTGGGTTCCCAGGCCAGAGGCTGCAGGGTGACCTTGCTCCTCTTGGGCCCCTGGTGCCAACTCTTTGCCCCCTGGGAGGCCTTGGCAGCCCCCTCCCTTCGGGGCTCAGCCAAGGAAAACGATTCCTCCGCTCACATCACTTCTGACACCAAGCACGTGAGCGTCTTCCCGATGACGCCAGGCTCCTGACCCCAGCTGGGGTTCCCGCAGGGCAGTTCAGTTCTGGCGCTGAGTCAGGTCAAGGGCTCAGCCCCCCAGGACTGCCCCGCCTCAGACGGCCACCGCGAGTCCTGGCCACACGCACTCCCGGCCATCCCTCAGCTGTAAACTGGGGCTCCCGGGACCTCCTCCTCAGGTTGGGCAATTTGCCAAAACGGCTCAGCGAATTCAGGGAAACTTTACTTACATGCACCTGTTTATTACAGAGGATTTACAGAGGGTAAGGTGAGCGGTCAGATGAAGGAGCGTTCAGGGCGAGGTCTGGGAGGGTCCAGGGGGAAGGAACTTCTGTCCCCGTGAGGTTGGGGCACACCACCTCCAGCTCATGGATGTGTTCACCAACCAGACAGCTCTCCACACCGCATTTTAGGGAATTTTATGGGGGCTTCGTCTTGTAGGCATGATGGATAAACTTGGTCTCCAGCCCTTCTCCCCTCTCTGGGGTAGGGGTGGGAGGGAAAGATCCAAGCTTCTTGTCATGCTGGGTCTTTCTGGTGGACCAGCCCCCATCCTGAAGCATCCAGGACCACCCAGAGCTGCCTCTTTAGAATGAAAGTCTGCTGTCACCCAGGAAATTCCAAGGGATGTCAGAGCTGTGTCAGGAACTCAGGGCAGAGACCAAGTGTCTATTGATTATGTTACACTCAGCCGGGCTCAGAAAATGGCTGCTGGCGAGCCCCTACTCCCTGATCCCGGCCCCCAAGATTCCTTGGAACATCCAGTGCCCCGGGGACTCCCGAGGCTGGTACTGATCGGCTCAGGCCCCCAGGAATGAACCCCTGGGGCTTGGAGGACACACGGGCCAGCTCTCGGGCCGCTGGGTGGGGGGGTTCTGAGGCTCTACTCTCACTCCCCCAAGCTTCCAGAGGATTTTGGCCCTAGAGGCCCAACACTTCTCCCTCACTGGCCCTTCCCCTCTCCTGACCACCTCGCTCCCCCATGGGGGTCCCCCCACCTCTCAGACAAGATTGTACTCAAATTTAGGGTTTCCCAGGGGTACACTCAAAGACCCTCCCTGGGCCGGCCTCTGAGAGGCCCCAGGTGTGTGCCCTGGACGGAGGGGAGGGCAGGCTAAGGGCTGGCCTCTGTGAGAAGCAAAGCCTGCGAGGAGAGGCTGAGGGGGTGGCGGGAACGTGGCAGCTTTGTACACTTTGAATGAGGCGGCCCAGCCCCATGTGAGGCGACCCTGGACTCCGGCCCTCACTTGCCCTCCCGGTGGGCACCGTTGGGCGGCCAGCAGCCTGGCCCAGGAGGCCTGGACTTGGGCCCTGAGAGCCCACAAGGGACCATAAACATCAACGGAGAGGGGGCGTGCGGGAGAAAGCAGCCCCTCCTGGGTGTCCCCTGGGGTGACTGGGTTGGGGCAGCACGAACGGGGCGGAGCTCAGATCCTGCTGGGCGGCGTCCAGCTCTGGGCTCCTGGCGCCTGGAGACTCAGTCCCCCGCCCCCATGACGGAGGCTGCACAGCAGGGCGAAGTCCCACCACACTGGGCACCAGGAGGCACTGACCCAGGGACATGGAGGGCCCGAAGGTGCTCGCCGGCCTGAGCCTGGAGTTTCGTGTGGGTGTTTTCTACTCGGGACACACCACAGCCCGTGAAAGG